CCGGGACTGGGGGACCCGGCGCCGGGAGGGACCCCGGGACGGACCCCGGGACGGCCTAGGGCCAGGGGACCCCGCGCCAGGAAGGACGGCCTAGGGCTGGGGGACCCCGCGCCAGGTGGGACCCCGCGCCAGGAAGGACGGCCGGGACCGGGTGACCGGCCGCGTCCGGGCAACCCGGATCCCGCGAGCTGGACACGCGCGCTGAGGCCCCTGCGCCGTCCCTGTCCCGGGCGGTCGCGGCAGCGGACCTGGGGCGGGGAGGCGAGGGGCGAGCGCGGACGTCTGGAAAGGGAGCGGCTCAGGCCGAGCTCTGAAATTCGAATCGGGCTGCTCGGGCCGGATTTGCAGCAGCGCCGGAGAAGGGGACGTGGTAACCAAAGCCGGGGCCGTGACCGGGCTGGGCGCGCGGGGCGGGGGAGGGGACCGTTCCGGCTCAGCGTGACGAGTGTCGAGACACTCCTGGGGGAGATTCTCGCTCTGCTGCCCGGTCGCCGTAACTGCGGCCACCTGACCTGTTCCGCTGGCCGAAGGATTAGTTCAGAAAGTTGCAGAAAGTCGTGGGCAAAGCAGGAAGCCTTCGCAGCAGGAAACTGACCTTCACCTCCTCGCGCTGCCCTGGGGAGGGAAGTCACTCAGGTCGAGGTTCGGCCGGATTAACTAGCACTCCCTGCCCCCGCGAGCCCGGAGACCTAGACGCAGCCTGAACCTGAGGTTAGTTTGGTTGCTTGCCTTTTTCCCCAACAGTCAAGAGCGTTTGTCCCCAGGTGGCGTTTTCCAGCTGGAAAGAACGCTCTCAGGACACTTTTTACAGACGAGGTAGCCTGCAGCTGAGAAGCGTGTTCTGTAGGACGGGCCGCGTTAGCCCTTCGGTGCCCCCTCACTGGCAGGAGGAAATCAGCCCAAAAGGCGTGTGTCCTCCAAGCTTTCCGACCACGACCACTTACTTGGGACTGTGTCTTGAGATGGGTGGCGACGGCCACGTCCCCATTAGTCCTTTGAGTCTCCTTCAAATGTAGTGTGCTAAGTCAGTCACAGTTACAGACACCTGTGAGGGGGTGGGGGCGCTCTGTGGAGAGGTCGACCATCCAAAAAGTGAGGACTGAGAAGAAGGGAAAGGGGTCAAGAGCTCCTTTTGCCTTTTCTGGGACCTGGTGATTCACCCGGGGCCTTCCCCGGAGACCTGAAGCAGCTTCTCAACCCACTTCTGGCCCAGCTCCAGACAATGACAGGGTGGTGTGGGCCAGGTAGGAGCCTGCCCATGACCCATCTGCCAGGTCAGGAAAGGCAGGAGGGCAGCTCCCTGGGTGATCTGAAAGCCGAGGACAATTCCATCCTGCTTGGCTAGTCCATCTTGACCTATCACCCCTGTGTCTCCTGCGGAGCGCGTTGTAATTTGCTCCTTTTCCTAAGAGGATCTTTAAAGCAGATCCTTTAAAGGATCGAGAGCTTTACAAAACGACAGTATCTTTCTCAGCTGATGGTGATTGGACTGGTTTACAAAAGAGCATGTGATCCTTGGTAGCGCAGAAGAGGCCAAGGCGTAAGGACCACCCTCGATTTTTAGTCGGACGTATTGACTTAAACCAGGGACAGTTTATTTCGGTGAGTGTTCTGCTCTCCACTCGGTGCTGATGAAGAACCGGACTGTCTAATTTCATGATACTGTTTGGTTCAAAGATGAATTTTGGTTCACCTGAGGACCTCCCAGACAGTCTGTATCTAAAGGGTCGGGGCTGAACCCAGACTAAACCACAGTTTCTTCCAGTCGATGTGTCTCTTTGTCAAGCTGAGTAGGTCTGAATGTGTCTCAAGCATATTTCAATCTTCCGTAATTTTTGTGTCTGTGACTCTTCTCCGTGTCTCTCCTGCCTCCTCTGACCAGGATGGCGTCGGATGGCTCCGGCCAGATCTTAGTGCCCCACGGCAGTGCCCAAGATGGGGCGCAGTGACGAAAGGCATTCGTTCCCAGCTTGCTTAGGAAGTCCATCAGGAAACGGGACCCAACTTGTTCCAAGTGGGGAGAGCATTATGCTTTTAAGTAAGAGAAGAAGGAGGATTCACTACCAGCTTAGAAGGGGTGGAAAACCGATCACTCACCAGAATTGTGGAGAGGTGGAATCTTGTTTACAAGAGGGGTTGATTGAGACAGTTGGGCTGTAACTACGAATAAATGAAGGCAGTTCATATCCTGGGATGAAGAGAAGGCCACTGTCTCATGGCAGATTGATCACAGGCTTCTCCAAATCCCTTTTTCATGAGTAGCAGGCTTTGGTTCTGAACTTCAATACAGTGACTCATCTTGTAGGGCCGGTGACCGGGGAATCACGGAGTTAAATTTGCTGTCCTTTTTCTTAATGTGCACCTTTAGAAACGCCTGTAAATTAAAACCATGACCCACAATGAAAAATGCACAATTACAGCCATCACCAAACAGCTGTATCCCTCAGTACTAAACCGAGCAAATCAGTCCCACCCCACCGAGGCAGTGAGGACCACCCATCCAGACACAGAAAGTATGTGCAAAAATCCATGCATGGTGGCTTTCCTCCATGGGGAGACTAATTCTGACCTGTTCCTTTTCATATAGGAAAAAGAAGTGAAGCCTTCTGTGAAATTTTAACCTGGGAGTGCCTCAAATGTAAACTTTACCATCGGTAACAGTCATTTCACTGTTACATCCCAAATCCATGAAAGTGAACCGAAATGTTTTCAAGGAAGGTAGCTCTGCAGGGAGTTGGTCTGTTGGCCTTTAAGGCAAGGCTGGCCTCAGCCAGCCTCGGTCCTGGTGGTACCGTCCAAAACCTGAGGCTAGCGGGCAGAAGTAACAGGCGGGTCCCGTTCAAGGGCTGAGTGACCCGCGCAGTCCGCAGAGTGCAGAGTTCGGTCAGCACTAATTAGTGCCTTTAAGTTAGCAAGTACTTTTGCTGTGGCGCTCCTCCTCCACCCCCCGCATCTCTGTTATGTGCCAAGCACGGGGTGAATTCTTCCCGGGAACACGCTAGTCTTTATTAGACAACACATACGAACACGTTCCAGGTGGTTTGGGAACTATGCGTCTAATCCTACAGCGAGCTGGGCTGGTTTTGTTTTCATCGTTTTGGGTGAGGTTGCATAAGAGTTGGTATTTGCTCGCGAGGCGGTTTAAGAGTGCTCACTTACCGGGGACCCGGAGAAGTCTCCCCAGTTCCGTCCTGACGAGTCACGCCTGTGTTGTGTTCGCTTTGCCTTTTCCAGCACACACAGCCCGGAGGAGATGGATTGGAGCACGCTGCAGACCATTCTGGGGGGCGTCAACAAACACTCCACCAGTATTGGGAAAATCTGGCTCACCGTCCTCTTCATTTTCCGCATTATGATCCTTGTCGTAGCCGCGAAGGAAGTGTGGGGAGATGAGCAAGCCGATTTCGTCTGCAACACTCTACAGCCTGGGTGCAAAAATGTGTGCTACGATCACTATTTCCCTATCTCTCACATCCGACTCTGGGCTCTCCAGCTGATCTTCGTGTCCACGCCGGCTCTCCTGGTGGCCATGCATGTTGCATACCGGAGACACGAGAAGAAAAGGAAGTTCATTAAGGGGGAGATAAAGAATGAATTTAAGGACATTGAAGAGATCAAAAGCCAGAAGGTCCGTATCGAAGGGTCACTGTGGTGGACCTACACCAGCAGCATCTTCTTCCGCGTCATCTTTGAAGCAGTCTTCATGTACGTCTTCTACATCATGTACGACGGGTTCTCCATGCAGCGCTTGGTGAAGTGCAACGCGTGGCCTTGTCCCAATACAGTGGACTGCTTTGTTTCCAGGCCCACGGAGAAGACCGTCTTTACGGTTTTCATGATCGCGGTGTCTGGAATTTGCATCCTGCTAAATGTCACCGAATTGTGTTATTTGCTAATTAGATATTGTTCTGGAAAGTCCAAAAAACCAGTTTAACGCATTACCCAGCCAGTGGATAAAAGAGAGGGTGAAAAGGAGGAGGCACAGACAGGTGCTTTGCTGTCAAGGCACAGTCACCAGCATTTCCCGAGATACAGATTCCTATCTTAAACGCAACCATTTGAAACTGCTCTGGATGTCAGTGAAACTCCAGATGCCTCCAACAGACCTCTCCTCTCCTAAAGCTTGAAAACAAAGGCATGATTCTGTGCCTATACTGATTGTCACTAAAATTAGTTCCAGTGAGGCCCTGGGCCGCTAGGGCTTGTGGGTGTAGGCTGTCTCCTATTTTAAACAAAGGACATCAGCATTTCTTTCTCTTTCTTGGAGGAGAGGAGAGAAACGCCAGGTTCTAAAGAGGATGCTGAGGTTTGCTTGATCTCCTTAAGGGTCTCTTTGCCGTTTTCCCTGAATTAAAGGTGAACATAGAGATTCTTGGTTCTTTTATTCACTTGGGGAGTTTTAGTCTGTAACAGTGGACAGGGTTATCTAACGCTTCAAACTCTGTTGTGCTTTTTTAAGTGAAAACCTTAAAATGGGATAGATGTTCTTTTGATCCGTAAGATGTTCTGAAAACCATGATATGTTCACCCTATTTCAAAGGCTCAGATTCTGATATGTAAACGGTGTGCAATTAGATACTGTCATTGAGTTTAAAATAGAGCCTTTCAGTTATGAGTAATTTGCAGCGCCCCTGCGAGGCTGGTGGCCGTATTCATTGTGATACGTAGCCCGTAAAAGCATTTCAGCCTCTCACACGTGAAACGAACTAGAAGTTCTTAGGGGTGGCTTGTATTAGCAAAGAGCCTTATTTCAAAAACTTAGGTGTAATTTTGCATGAGAAGTACACGCTGGATGGACCACCAGCTACTACTGACTACAGGCTGGGGCAAGCCACCCTCTCTGCAGTGTTTGCCCTTTCCATTACTGTGGTCAACAGTGGGAGCACTGATTTAAAGAGGTTGCTTGGGAATGCTTCACTGCCACAGTACAATTTAATGGTGCAGAACAAAATGGGGGGAGTGGTAGTTACTGTTTTCAAAGAATAGATGGAAACAAAATTTTAAAGAATTTAGATGGACTCGAAATTCTAATGATTAAAAATGAGTTTCGTCTACTTCAAAAGTTTGCTTCCCTCTTTAGCATCCGGTTTTCTTAAGTGAAAATAGAATTGGTAGGCATTTGTTTTTAAATAGAAATTAGAGTTTAGATAAATATTTAGGTGTTCTATGGGACAAACTGGACCCTAATACTATCACTGTGCTTGACATGGTTTCCAAAAAATGGTAAACACTTTTCTGTCGCCAAGAATAGCACTGTAAAAACATTTTGTAATAATAAATCATAGCTTTAATTACATGCTTGTAACTAAATAATTTTGTAATGTCTCAAATGTCATTTAAAATATTAAATATAATTAATTCGTAAAATAACTATTTAAAATCTCTTACAGTTTTTAATAGAAGAGCAGGTTTTATTTTAAATTTTTTTTTTCAACGTTTTTATTTATTTGTGGGACAGAGAGAGACAGAGCATGAACGGGGGAGGGGCAGAGAGAGAGGGAGACACAGAATCGGAAACAGGCTCCAGGCTCTGAGCCATCAGCCCAGAGCCTGACGCGGGGCTCGAACCCACGGACCGCGAGATCGTGACCTGGCTGAAGTCGGACGCTTAACCGACTGCGCCACCCAGGCGCCCCGAGCAGGTTTTATTTTAACCCATAGCCAGTGTTCTATGTTAATATTTTATATTTTATAACACCAACTCGGTAAATTACCAGGGTGTCCATCCACCATTCTGGGATTCTTCTGCCCGGGTACAGGAAAGCCTCTGTCACCAGAAAGATTGACAGGAGAGGGGGAAAGAGTATTTTTGTCCAGCCGCATGTTCACCTCCAACAGGTTTTTGACAAACACACGTGCAGCACGACGTGTGGACCGGATTTGTAACCTGCAGGATGCCAAGTTGGGTTCACGTGACCGGTTTGGCTCCTAGAAGAATCACAGGAGCTGAAAATGTCATTCATGGTGAAGTTCGGCTGAGGCATGAGAAAAATTCTATAAGGGGTCTTTTCTGGGAGATGTACTTTCTGTATATTTGTAGGTAATCGAATCTGGTCTGATGAAGCTGCTCTGCATTCCTTACTGCCCATTTCTATTGGGAAATAAGCCCGTAGGCAGGCCAGCCTGTCCTGTGTGTGGGAGTGCTTGCTGTCTGCGGGCCTGCCTGCCTCCAGGGGCTGTCCCCCAGCCGGCCAACAGCGGCTCTGGCTTTTCAGTAAGAGGACCCTTGAGCCCAAGGACCTCAGCATTTTACACATAAATACTTAGGAATGTTTTTTATGGAGAACCGTATGCCACGCGCTCGCTTTCTAAATGGATTTAAGAGGACAAAAAAATAGCCAACTTTCATCCAGGTAATAGAAAAGAGAAAAATAGTCCCTGGTCATCTTCCAAAGTGCTCTGCACACAGGCTGTTAAAACGGCACACGATTTTTAAGATAGATGTGTTCATTCTTATAAGCTGTGAAGGTTGTTACTCTCAAGGTTTTAAAAGACTAGACCAAAATAATTCCAGATCACTACTGACCACTTTGAAGAGCTTATAGAGCGGTCTGGCCACACGCCTGAAAATTAGAGCTTGAACTTTGAACATGAATTTAATCCTCAGTACATATCTCGAATTTATCATTTGTGCTAGGTAAGAAAAACCTCTGTTTGGGGCTTTTGTTTTTGTTTTTCAAAAGGGACCACCAAAAGACCCTGGGCCGGCCTGATTGCATCAAGGCCATTGGCCAGCCTCCAGGAGGGCCTCCGCACTGGCTGGGCATCCACGTATTTGACCTTGAAAGCTTGTGAAACGGTGGGTGCGGCCCAGCTGCCGATTTATCTGGCACAAGGTTTGCTAGTAAGCTGGCACTCGTGGTCTCAACTCTTCCGTAGATGCACAACTGTCAAAAGGCGGGTGGCAATTGGCAGTGAGTGAATGAGGGCCGACTCAGGAGGACGCAGGCAGTATTCTCCAGGGTGGCGTGGCCCGAGCTGACCATCACTGCTGTCACCGACCTCGGCAGTCGACTAGACAGCAGCAGGCAACGTGCCAAGAGGGGCGTCTGGTGGGTATTGCAAGAGCTCACTTAATTCTCCGGACCTCAGTTCTCTCATCTTACAATGGGCTTACTGGTACTTTCCAAGGTTAATGGAAAGCTAAGTAAGACAATTTCTGTAAAAGCTTTCTACATAGTGAAGTGCTAAGTAAAATATTGCCATCTGTGTTCCATGAGATAGATCCCAAGCTGGGAAGATGACGGGTGGTATTTTAGATAGAAACGACTCAAGCAGAGCTTGACAAACTGGAAGCTGGAAAAAAAATGGCACATTTGTACTAAATCTGATGTAAGCACAATAGAGAGAGAGGAGAGGCTAGGTGCAGAAGCCATGGCTTAAAAAGGTAGGGTTCCGACAGTTATGTTAGTCTATGATTAAAGAAAAGTCAACAGGGTCATAAAGTGTCCATTCATCTAGTTAGTCTCTGTTACCACATGTTTTATGCATATGATCTCATTTAATCCTCACGGATACTCTGGCAGTCTTGGGCCTTCGGATAGTATTATTCCTATTGAATGGACCAGGAAGGTGCCTTTCGGGGAGGTAACATATCATACTCAAAGGCCACGAGCAGACGGTCCTATCACACAAAGGGTGTGGGTTGGACTTCCAGAATTCTCCCAGTGCATTTAATTCCTGAAGCTAGTAGCCAACACCATAGGGACGCCCCATCTTCCCCAGTGCTGATAGGGTTAAGAAGAAGTCCTGACTTCCAGAGACACTCCATTCCACTCCTGCGCATCTCGAATTATTCATTTACTCAGCCAATATTTACCAAGGGCCAGCGGAGTGCCAGGAGCTACTGGGCACCGGGACTGCGAACAAAACAAAATCTCTGCCTTCATGTTGAAGGAGGCAGGCTACAAACAAATCCCTGTCGATTATCTATGCTGCAGATAAGTGCAACGGAACTTTCTGTGCATACGGGAACTAGGAAGGGCCAGGGCCGATGAGAATCGCTGTTCGATGTAGGGTGGTCAGGGAAGGCCTCTCTGCTAAGAGGCATAGGAGAAGCAAGCCAAACGGATATCTCAGGGAAGAGTCATCCAGGAAGAGAGAGGCCGGGACACCAGAGTCAGGGAGAGACTGGGAGGAGATGAGGCCAAAGAAGGCGGGGGCTGGAGGCCATCAGAAGAATTCCCTATTGTGCAGAAATCTGCCTGTTTATAACACCAGCTTTCCAGCATCTGTTCTGCCCTCTGGTGGACCCAGAGGAAGTCTATTTTCCACTTAAGAACCTTGAAGAGCTGAGAACAGATCCAAGTTCAACCTCAACTTTATTTTCCAGCTATATGGCCCCACATTTCTCAGTCATTCATTGGTTCATCCAATATGAAGCAACTACTGTGTACCAACCTACGAGGTACAAGCAAATAAGAGAGAACAAAACACATTTTCTAACCTCTGGCAGTCAAGCAGGGATAAGTGTGCCAGGGGTCACTAGGCTCCCCCTCAGTGTCTTCCAGAAGGCGGATGGTGCCCAGCACTAGGTGCAGCACTCCAGCGTGGCCCGGCATTGGGGTGACTATTCTAGACGCGGTATCACACGTTAATTTTGAGGGACATTTTTAACGGCCTTGTCACCTTTCCTCACTTTCAGTTACAAGATGATTTATGTAATTACAGAATTAATATACAAATACATTTGCATTTAAAATGAAACGCAGGGGCGCCTGGGTGGCGCAGTCGGTTAAGCGTCCGACTTCAGCCAGGTCACGATCTCGCGGTCCGTGAGTTCGAGCCCCGCGTCGGGCTCTGGGCTGACGGCTCAGAGCCTGGAGCCTGTTTCGGATTCTGTGTCTCCCTCTCTCTCTGCCCCTCCCCCGTTCATGCTCTGTCTCTCTCTGTCCCAAAAATAAATAAAAAATGTTGAAAAAAAAATTTTTAAAT